AGTTCCCAAGAACTCACTGTAGACCAGCTAATACAGGATGGAAAAGGGCCCTGGAGATAGAAAGATGCTGATAATCTAGGGAGACAAGACCAGCAAGAAAAGACATAGGGTAGGGAGATCTCACAGGGGAGACAGGAAGGACACATGACCGGAGTCCTGATGGCTAAGCAAAATTAGCCAAACAGAAATGGAGGGTCTAGGTGGCGCACGTCTTTAATCCCAGCACTCGGGAGGCAGAGGCAGGCGGATCTCTGTGAGTTCGAGGCCAGCCTGGGCTACCAAGTTGAGTTCCAGGAAAGGCGCAAAGCTACACAGAGAAACCCTGTCTCGAAAAAACCAAAAAAAAAAAAACAAAAAACAAAGAAAACCTCAAACCAGATGGAAAAGACTTAAAACTATCAACACCAACATTAAAAGGTCAAAAATCCAAGCAAGTAGAGAAGTGTATTGAACAACCCTGGGCACTCGTGGTAAATTAAGCCCAAAGGTGGGAAAAGAGGAAGGAGAAACAAGCATTGTTGATGCCAGGTTCCACCGTTAATCCAGACTGATGTCTGTTTTCACCTCAGCCCCTTCTCCAGCTTGGCTGTCCACCCCCGCAGGCTAGGAACCGGCTCTTCATTTCCTAATGTTTTCCTTTCCCTTGAGATCCCAAGAACCTGGCTGCTTTCTATTAGGAATGTGTCGTCTCTTTGATGTGTAATTACTATTGTGTCTCCTTGGCTACCCAATAAATTTGTGAGTGAACAACAGAAAATCGACAAGCATCAAGAGAAATTAAAGATATCCACACTCATGGATCAGGAAACTCAAGATGGTAACCCCAACTTAGTCTACAGGTCAACATCAAAATCCTAGATGTTTTTTTAATTTTTTTCCAGAAATTGGTGTGTTCATTTTAAGATTCACACGGAGATGTAAGAGACTATGTTGGAAACAGGATTCATGTTGCCAGTTCTCAAAACATATTACTGCTGTTCTTACTAATCTAGACTGCTGCTGGCATTACCACATTGAGACAATGCAGAGCCCAGACATAAACCATTAAATGAATGGTCGGTTGGTTTTCAACAAACGTTTTAATACCATTCATTAGGGGAAATCATCTTAAACTGGTGCTGAGACAAGTGAGATATCCACATGTACTATGCCCCTACCTCATAGCACTCAAAGCGGAGGTGGTAGTACATACATGTAATACCAGTACTTAGAAAGTGGAGGCAGGAAGGAATCTAAGGCCAGCCTCAGAGTGAGACTGTCTCAAAACAAAAAAAGATGAATATATGAAGTGATGTCATTTCACAAGTCTTCACACATTCCTGCAGGTAACAAGGCTACTTAACCCCTGACAGCCACAATGATGCCATGTGGATACCAGCCTTCTCTGGAAGGGATGGGGACAGGAGTCAAGGAAGATACACACACCGTCAGGCAGATGGCAGAGAGAAACAGGCTACTAGGAATCATGCTTTGATTTTTTTTTTTTTTTTTTGAAGGTCTGGAAATAGTACCAGAGAGTAGCTGGGGTGTTTGGAAAACACACTAACTAAAATAGACAACACAAAATTTAACAAAACAGTGTTTGCTAATTATGGTATATTCTTGGTGTTTGTTGGATTTTTTTTTAACTTTTTGTTCATTGAATTTAGAATAATAAACTAGGCCAGACATAATGGCAGCCAGCCTGGGCTACACAGCAAGACCCTATCTGTCCCCATAACCCCTCAAAAGATAATAAGTTTTTTGTTTTTTGTTTTTTATAGTAGCCACCAGAAGGTGGCTACTGTACAGTGCTATTGCTCTCCCAGGGACTCCTGTATTCACACAGGGGTCTAAATAGCCATATACCGCCCCCACAATGTATTTTAAGAGTAGCCACATTTGAATGCAGCAGGCTAAGGCAGACAAGTAATAGTTTATATTCTAAAGTAATATTTATTGAAATATGCCACCAGTCCAAGGTCCCCAATGGCACTGTCACTCAAAGGAAATTTTGTGATCTCCCCCCACCAGAGCACACACTTAGGAATTCACGAGCTCCAGAAGGAAAGGAACTTATCCAACATAACTACTTCTGAGTATTATACTTTATAGTGTCTGTTAAATCTTTTGGAAAATCAACATCAAGTTTGCTTGTCTTAACACTAAGTAAAAGGTAACATTTAAAAGGGTGAAAATAGCTGGGCATGGTGGCACATGCCTGTAATCCCAGTTCCTGAGGCAGAATCAGAGAGATCTCTGAGTTGAAGACCAGCCAGGGCTACATAGTGATACTATCTCCCTGCCCCTCCCCCAAAAAAAGAAAGAAAACACCTGTATTGAGCAGCATCTGCTGCTAATGGTTCCATGAGCTAAAGGACACTTCATCTACTCAGACTGACTTTAAGGGGCCACATGGAGCCTGTCACACACACAAGCATGAACAATGACAAAACTAGCTCTTACGTCACTTGAGCTACTTGCATATAAAAACAAAGTAATTTGGAACATGTCACACAAATGCGTATGAGAAACTTGTTCCTCTGACTCCCTGGGATGCCCACGGCAGAGCTCACAGCCTGGGCAGCTCTTCTTACCTCCCTTGGTCGTCAGCTCCTGATCCATGACTGAGCAAAAAGCCATGAGTCCACAGGTGCTAGAGCCGAGGTCACTTCTAAGTCACAGTGTTGCTCTAATGTGAGGGACATGGAAAATTAAAGGCGCCTAGACATAGTGCTCACCGGTGACTAACTGCCAGGCTACAAGGCCAATGGCAGAGGGTCAGTACTATCAGACATGTCGAGTGATGCCCAGAAGCCACTTGAAGAGAATGGCCTGCCTATCTAGACAACTACTGCTAGAGGACACCCTACAGCACTGCCCACTGTCGCCTCCTTCCTGACTTCTCATGGGGATGCGAGGACAAGAAGACTTATCAGCCCAGTGTACCCAGGACTGCCCCCTGCCAGGAAAGGCTTTTCCAAAGCAGGAGGGAACCTCACAAGAGCAAGCTGGAAGACGAAGCAAGACAGAGCAGGGTCAGTGCCCTCGCTGCTTCTGGGGGAAAAAGCTGTACTTGGTGGGGTCAAATTCTTCCCAGATGCGCTCGAACTCCTCCAGGAAGAGCCGCACATACTCAGTGTCCTCCATAATCAGAACGTTCTCACGGTTGTTCTGGATGGCCTGTGTGGTCCAATTGAGGGAGCCAGTGATGAGTACCTTCTTGTCAATGATGGCAAACTTATGGTGCATGTAGCCGAGGTCCTGGTCATGCCGTACCTGTATACCTGTGGAGCCAAGGCAGCCTTTATTATGCCCACGCAGGTGCAGCTACCCCCAAGCTTGCTGATGTCCTCTGTTGACTCCACCGGGAAACCCAGGGGCTGTCCCAGGGTGGTACTGAGATGACAGGGAGAAGGCAGTCTGTCATCCAGGTCAGTACACAGAAAGCAAGGACTCTGGATGACACCAAACACTTCTCTGGGGAACAACCCACCCACACCAGCTCCACTAAGCCTGTGTCTAAATGCTACCTCAGAATCCTTCAGAGAAAGGAGTCAGACGTGTGACACACACCCTTGCTGTTCTTGTCACTCACTGGATAGATAGGGGGGGGGCACGACACACAACAGAAGCCTACGCAGGAAAGGAGTGCACGTTGACTTTGGCTGGCCAACTGGAATTACACCTCCCAGGGTGCCTCACTAGCTGAACAGAAAGAACTGTGCCACATCCTAACCTGCTATCCTCACCCAAGTTCTGGCTTTGGCTTCCTTCCTTTTGGGGGTATGTTGTTTGGCAGGGATGTTGGGGTGAAACCCAGGCCCTTCACATGCTGGGTAAGTGATCTGCCTGTCTTTCCTTTACTGCGCTTCTGCCCTCACTCCATCCCAGCAAAGGCTGGCAGCATCACCTCGCTGCAGACCACCTTTAGTCAGTCCCCAGCAGCTAGTTCATGACTTGGGCACGTCGCGCTGTCCCCGGATGCCTCTGTAGCTATCCTAGCCACCCACTTCCTTTATGATCTTTGTCAAGTTTTCCAGACCTTTTTGATTCATGCGTTTTCCTACAAGTACCTGACTGTACCAAACACGGACACATGGCACACTTGTTGATGGAACAATCTGGAACTCACCCAGCTGTGGCCAGAACATCAGTGGAAGTTCCATCTGTGACACCAGTTTGGTTCTTCCCAAATCTGAGGTTTTGTGACTCGCCAAAATCTAAATACAGTGACATCACCCATGCCCGGTATCTACTTGTCCACCCACCAAAATGGCCTGGCTGGAGATCACCCTGTGACTGCCAGTGAGGGGGCAGGGAGTCGCCATGGTGCTTCTGCTGTGGGTGAGACACAGCAGGTTGGTGCTATGGTGCTCTTCCCAATTTGCTGCCTGAAGCAGATCTGGTTTCCAAAGCCTACATTATCCTGGGGACTAGGAGGGCAGGCTGTGTGCAAGGAAAATTCAAAAGCACCGCAAAACCTGAACATTTCCCAGGGGCTCCCCAAACCTGTCAGTCACTGTAGGCACAATGATGAGGCTAGGCAAGTGTGTGGAGGGGTGGGGGGCACTGAGTCTTGGGTAAAGGAGGGATCTAGCAGTCCCAGTTTGCGTTCCTGCAGTGCCCACCACTTAAAAGAGGGCAAACAAGGGCCACGGACCAAGGGAGAGTAGAAATCATCACACCTGTTGCCTGGGCAGAGCTGCAGGCTCCCCAAACACACTTGCGGGCCAGAGGTGGCTGATCAGTATTCATCCGCCACACTGTTGGGTCCACTTTCCAGTGATCGCCCAGCCTAGTGGGAAACTCACTAATCGACACTGACCACTGGTCACTCCTAGCTTCCCAGGGGCCCACGCAGAAGCAGCTGAGGGTCCTTCAGTGCTGACTGGGTTCAAACTGATTTAAGCTTTACCTTCCATGCCTTCGGCCTGCAACAATCACAAAAATTGATTGCATCTACACACGCCTCCCCTCCAAGGTCAGAGCCTAGGAACAGGTGGGAATTCCTGCACACCTTACTCTAGACATGGGAAATGACATTCTATAGAATAACCCTGGTTCCTTGGCCAGCTCACCCGCGCCTGCCTGCCTCCACCTTCTCCCTGAAAAGCTACCTGTTTTAGACCAGTCGGCTGGGGCATCCACTAAGTCCTCTGCCACCTCAGCCCCTCCTCTAGTGAACACCTCCGGCGGCGGCGGCGGCGGCGGTTTACCTGCCTTGCGCAGCAGGCCGATCTGCGAACCGTTGAGGGCCATGTAGTCGCAGTCGGTGATGACCCGCACGCGCACCCCGCGCTGGTGCAGCAGCTGCACCGCACGGCCCAGCTGCGGGCTGGAGAAGGCGAAGAGGCAGAGCTCCAGACTGGAGCGGGCGGCCAGCAGCGCGCGCAGCAGGCGGCTCAGCGAACTCTCGCTGTGCGGGAGACTGCACGGGCAGCCCGAGGGGGGCCCGGAGGGCAAGCCTGGGGTCTGCAGGAGGGCCTCGGTGCAGGTCACCTGCGACGGGAAGAAGAGCACCTCGCGCCGTGGCCGCCGCCCGGCCAGCAGCCAACGCACCAGCCACGGCAGCGCCTCTAGGGCCAGCGCGAAACCCGCGCCGGCCGCGACCACCAACCGCCAACTCGAGAGCCCCATGGCCACCAGCTCAGAGGTCGGCGCGGGCATCGGGCGCTTGCGCGTGCCCGACACACACCAACCCGTCCCCGCCCCCGCCCCCAACCCCCCCCCCGGCGTGCCACGCCCCCCTGCGCTGGACCGCCCCCAGCCAGCCCCTGGGTTAGCTCCTAGCTGCTAGGCTATCCTGGGCACGCCTACCCTGCTAACAGTTATTTATGTGCCAGGGATCACAGGCTAGTACCATCACCAAGCCAGCCACACACTGCAAGACCCCCCCCTCCTCCGCCCCGCACCCACTTCTGCTACGACCCAACCACCCCTAACCAACTCATCACCCTGGGCCGTACCTGTGCCCACGGTTGACCATTTCCCTGGCTCTAAGCTGGAGGCACTCTCAGGGCACACCTTCCCCCAGGCCCTTAAATTTTGGGCGATAAAGAACAACAGGTAGATCAACTCAGGGCCCTTGAAACGGGGTAATGATAACGATGGTGGTCAACTCCGCATAGGCCAGGTGAAGATCAAGACCAGGATGTGAAAAAAACCAATGAGTGATAGAGCAGATCAAAACTTCAGGGACTCCCTAGCCATGAGAGTTCGTACAGGGATGTTCCCCTCTGCCTAGGGAACTTTTCAATTTTGAGGGAACTTAAGCCCTACACAGATTCGTGCATCTTATGTACCTGCTGACAACACTGTTGAACTCTGGGTAAAACGGGCTTCTGAGAAATGTGCCACCTAGAAGTTCCCACCCTGGAGAAGGCACAGGGAAGAGGACAACAGAGAGAAAAATCCTAAACCTCCAGCCGTCTGGGCCGAGGCTGTTGCCGCTGGCCTGTGCTCAGGAGCACACACAGGCTTGCTTCCTTGCATTGTCTAATTAAACTTGACTGCTTGAACCATTCCTGAAGACACTCCCCACACAAGACACCACCACCCCCAAACCCCCTCCTCCCTTAGGCACAGGGTGGAGAGGGCCATGGGCAGCTTTACAGGCACCTGGTCTGCATTCACGGAGAGAAAAGCCAGGGCAGCTGGGATTCCTAGGCGGGGGAATTAGCCCAGCTGGTCTCGAAGTGAGGACTCTCAGCACCTGCTCTGTTCCACTGAGGGCTGGGTCATCCCGGGGTCCTGCTGACCTGCACCTAGAAATCCAAAGACCAGAGACGGGGTCGGAAGCACGAGGCTTCAGCCAGGGACCTCCCCAGGGAACCCGCCAGGCTCTGGGAAACTGCAAAGGTCCGTGCAGCCAGCCGCGTTGCCCAGAGTTAAATGGCCAATGGCTGGAGGGGGTAATGCTTAGAAACAGAAGGAAGGGTGGGATCTTGGGCTGCCAGATTCCAGTGAGAACTCCTGCGTTCAGTCTCATGTCTATAGGAATATGCCTAAGTATGCCCATGGTGACATACATGACCCACTTCTGCCCCAGGAGAAGGTCCAGAATCAGCCCAGCAGCGGTGAGGCTCTGGAGGGAGGACTAACTAGAAGCCATACTGGGTCCTAATGCCTGCCATGTCTACTGGGTCTCAAGCCGGCTTCCCCTGAGATAGGATGGTTGTTCTGTTTTGGGGGCTCCTTTGCCTTATACCTATGGTCTGCCTTTGTTTCTGCCCCACTGGTATTTCTAGTTTTTAGTTCTAAAGACATGGGCAAACTAAGAAAGAAACAAGCTGCTACCAACATTTACTGAGTTACCTTAGATGGCTGCTTTTCATAGTTTTCTGTTTGAGGGCTCCTAAGTCACAGGAACTTATATTATTCTGCAACTTGATATCTTTTTTCAGATTAAAAAAAATACTTGTTAGCTTTTCAGGTTGTCTGCCTCCATCTGTAGACATACACAAGATGCTTTAATCCCAGCAATGAGGAGGCAGAGGCTGGTGGATTTCTAAATTCAAGGTCAGTCTGGTCTACAGAGTAAGTTTCAGGACAGACAGAGCTACATGGAAAAACCCTGTCTCAAAAACTTAAAAAAAAAAAAAAACTCTAAAATCCAGGTGTGCCTCTTAAAGTAATTACAGCTGGGCTTGGTAAAAGCTAGTATTCCTTCAAAAAGAAAGCTAGGCAAACTCACTGGGAAGGTCACCTGGAGCCAGCCTTTCATCCCATGCAATTAGGTCCTAATTGCATGAGACCTCAAGGTTTTCTGGAAAACTGGGGAGTTCAGGCTAAACGCTAAAACTGGGGAGGGAGTCCACCCACACGGCAAGAAAAAGGGTGATACATATGTTGAGTAAGGGCCCCAAATATTGCTTAATACCGCCTTGAGAAAACCTGCAACAAATGATGAGTTTGTTACTGTTACGTTTCATGGTATTTAAAATTTTATAATGGAGAGAAAATTATATATAAAAGTTAAAATGGCTAAATGTAATCACACATGTCTAGCTCTCTGAATACTCCCTCTTCTCTTGGTCTTGCCCTCACCCTTCAAGGTCATGGATATCTTTGAAGCTCTTTCTGAAATGTAAACTTTCTCTCAGGATCTGTAAGACCATTGGGGAAGAGACTGTTAAAAACCTGTTCCAAGCAGAAAGAAGTCAGCTTAAAATTTATAACAAAAAGGTTAGTAGTTAAAAGTCTATCTACACACAATCTTAATTTGCTACAGCATGACACATGTGTCACTTGGATTCAACTCATCATGTTTAGAAAATAGAAACAGTAAGCTATGAGGGAAAATGTTTAAATGGATACAAAATCGATGGTTATGTTTTTGGTTTAAGAAATGTTAAAATCTTGGAGAAGGTTCCTTTTTTCCTAAGAATAAAAACTAACAGATGAGGCTGAGAGGCAGTGGAGTACACCTTTAATCCCAGCACTCGGGAAGCAGAGCCAGGCAGATCTCTGTGAGTGCGAGGCCAGCATGGTCTACAGAAAGGCACCAAAACTACACAGAGAAATCTTGTCTCGAAAAACAAAAACAACAACAACAAAAAAGCTTAAAGCCAAGTCACAGAAGGTCTGAGTAAGTTATACAGGGTTAAAATGATCTATGTTAGGGGCTGGAGAGACGCTACGAAGTTAAGAGATTCCCAACACCCACATGACAGCTCACAATTGTCTGTATCTCCATTTCCAAGGGATCTGATGCACTCACACAGGCATACAATTCAGTCAAAGCACTAATGCACAGAAAATAAAAATTAAATCTTTTTTTAAAAAAGAATGTACGTTTGATGATTACAATTTACAATTCCCTAAGGTTATAATGGTCTATTCATGCTAACAAAAACTGACTTAAAGATTTATGTCTAGGGGCTGTAGAGATGGCTCAGAGGTTAAGAACACTGGCTGTTCTTCCAGAGGCCTGAGTTCAATTCCCAGCAATCACATGGTGGCTCACAGCCACCTGTAATGAGATCTGGCTCCCTCTTCTGGCCTGCAGGGACACATGCAGACAGAACACTGTATACATAATAAATAAATAAATCTTTTTTTAAAAAAAGATTTATGTCTAATCACTTATGTTGTTTTCTAACTTTGTTAATCTCTGGGTATCTGGAGAAACTGGGTCATATAAAAATTATATTTGCTGGACATGGTGGCACACACTTAATTCCTAGCACTCAGGAGACAGAGGCAGAGGCAGAGGCAGGCAGATTTCTGTGAGTTCAAAGCCAGCCTCGTCTACAGATTGAGTTCCAAGACAGCCAGGGCTACACAGAGAAACCCTGTCTCCAACAACAACAAAAGTATATTTTGTAAAGGTACATTATAAAAGTATCAGGAGCCGGGCGGTGGTGGCGCACACCTTTAATCCCAGCACTTGGGAGGCAGAGCCAGGCGGATCTCTGTGAGTTCGAGGCCAGCCTGGGCTACCAAGTGAGTTCCAGG